GGTTGGTAGCCTGAAGAGAAAGATGGAAGAGAGAACTTTTCTCGTTCGAGGTAGAAAAGAGCGCAATTGAGAAATTGCGTCTTATCGTTATAATAAAATTTGTATATAAATAAATGTCTTGTACACTTTGAATAAATGTCTTGTATACTTTGTCAATGATTATTTGAAGTATTTTAGTTGAATAGTGAAACCGGCATTCCCAAAATCCTATTTACCCCCTTCCCATTCTCTCAATCCTCTAGCTCTATAATATTAATATATATGTGATGGGTCTCCCATAAAGACAATCGGCGCAAGCGGGACATGGTGACTAAGGGCTGGTCGGTTGCGGGCGCAATATGCCTTTTCATAAAGATATATTTTTGAGACGCATGCGCTCGATTTTAGATCCAAAATTTGATTGGGTAATGCAAAGGTGAAACCTGTTGAGACACAAAATTCTGATTGGCCATTTCGAATATGGCGGTTTTTATTGACGTTCTGTTAAATGTCAACCACAATGAGCATTCCTCATTGAGAAACAATTATAACAATATAGTATTTTGGTTTCTATATTCCTGGTGTGTATTAATTGTAATATATTAATTTAAATCGAAAAAACGTTACTTATTCGTTACTGAGGAGTGTGGTGCAAGTGTTTCGGTGAGAATGGCCGCCACTGTCGTCGTTTTATTTGCAACTTTTCCGATTCCGGTTGCTACTTTTCATTCCGTCTCACAACAAGGAATGACGTGGAATGATTGTTGACAGTTGTCAAAAAATTATATTAGATTGACGAAAAACAAAACTTTTTGAAAGTAGAAGACATTTAGCAGACATGTTTATCCTGAAGTTTACAAGTTTATGATTCTTTCAGGCAAGACAGGTTTCATATGTTCATTCCCAGATAAAATTAATACTCTCGGTCACAGAGAAGTTTCTCCAATCAGCACAATCAATGCTCCAAATATTCGTTGATTGATTTTCTGATTCTTAACTCTTGTATCATGATTTGGAAATTAATGGAGCCCCAATATATAAGTATAACCTCTTATTATGTAAATTCACCCATGCAAGGTCACGTTTCTCGTTTTATTTGTAAACGTCATTCTGTTTCTTCTTCTTCTTCTCCACCGCTACCAGAATGAAACAAATGAAACGCAACTAATGAAAAGGCCTATTGGGTTATACGATTTCTTGCACGCACCTGTTTGAAATTGGCGCAACTGGGCTATGCCCAATCAACCACTGTATGATCGATTTTGTACCAGAAGTACCAAAAAGTCGTCTTGCTCCCATGAATGAAAGACAATTTTATTGAACATAGATATGTGTATTAATTAATATATTATTTGGTCAAATTGGAACATTCAGGCAATCAATATTGAAATGATATTACAGTGATAATAGCACTGATAATTGCTGTCATTTTATTGAAATATACCTCATTTTGTGGGGTCCTCTCTATTGCTTATTCCTCATAAACCAACTACTTATTTCATTCAATGAATAAAATTGATTGCAACTGAATTATTTTTATTGAAAAGGGAGAATAAGCAAGGAACCTCACACCATGTTGAATCAGTCAATTGTGAATTTTAATAATAATTGAGCACCAAATTTTATCACAATTTCTTGAGGAAGACCCTTTTTGCTTTCCATGATTTATTGATATGGAACACAGATTTTGAGCATAACAAGAGTGAACTAGTGGTCAAAGAAATGAGACGCCTCGAAATTTCATTGAAATCTGACCAATTTGAATATACATCCATTTATATGACAGTTAATTATTGTGTTTATTGGTTGCTAAGCCAAACTGAGGGTAAGTGAATAATTCATAGCTATATCATTTTGAAGGATACATACAAATATCTAAAATCTGCATTTGAACAATTTATGACCCAGGGATTGAATAAACAACTAAATATAATATAAAAAAATATAGTGATTTATGTGTAGAATTATAAAATCATTACTAATGATGAGGTTTGCTATTATCAGACATTATTGTTTATTGATTGATTACCTTGATCCCCAAGGAGCATAGGTAACTTTTTATAATATCACAAATATTGATAAGTAATCATTATATTTTATCCAATAAATTTCACTCGTTGGAGACAAATTTTCTTCTTGAAATGTGAGAACTCACATTTTAGTTCTTGAGACATATTAATTCCATCAAATTGTATCGGCCATCATTCCATTATGAAATACCTATTGTTTACCATTGTTTGACTAGAATTGGTATCTAACTAATCCAATTATCTGCTTTGATATTAATTTCTTCCAGCACTCATCTTTAACCAATAACTTGTTCTAATCGTTCTTAATACTTGTTAAAATAATATGGAATGCCGCATTTTTTTTCAAAATAATTCTTGTATTCATCACTCTCAAAAACTGATGATTGAAACAAAAGCTGCAAGAATATTGAAAACGGTGAAAGAATGTTCTAGAATTCTAGAATATTCCACTGATTCTGAAACATTGGAGGAAATTGAAAATATGATGTGTTTCAGCTTGATCTTGATAAGATATATTTTTATATTTTTTCATAATTTTCTTCAATTCGCCTCCAATAGAAGTACTTTCTTTGTCAGAGCGAACCAAGGGTATTCTGGCTAGTTATAATGAATGAAAATCAAGTAGTTTTCAAGATTTGATTGGTTAAAACTGATTAGATGGTAATGTTAGGTATTATGAAGTTCACTGAAATTAGAAAGAAACTGTCACTACTTCTGTATAAGATGTGGGAAGTATGAAGAATATTTATTGAGCAAGTGGACAATCAACATTATACTATAAAAGCTGTGCGTAAGCTCACAGAAATTTGAAGATCCGGCTCAACTGTATTACAAAAATCATTTATTCAGAAGGGTTATCTTTTGGGCATCAAGTTACTTCTCCAACTTTTTTCAGTGACCAGCTTGATTTATTCAAGATGAATGTGAAAACTATACGTAACATCTGCCTGAACCAAATTGTGTCATGATTCAATAACATCATATATTATTGTCAATTTCAGTAGTTTATACCCATCCTGTATATTATCTTGTTTTTGTGATTCTCCCACTATGTAAATGGTTTCTGTTGAGTGGTGTATGGATAAATAAATAAATAAATAAATATAATGATAATAACTTGTCTATGTGTTTGAACTTTCGGGTGTACCATTTCAACTTTTGACCACTCATTCCAATTCACATAAAGTAACAAGCATCTAGCTGGACCAGCGAATCTTTCAAACAGCGAGGTCAAGTGACGTCACCCACAACACATGATATTTCTTCCTTCTTTACCTTCTTTATATTGAGAATCTGCGACTACTACGAGTAAAGCGATATCTTAGTGATCTGTGTATCTGATTTCCACGGTGGTGACTGGGGTTCAATCCCTGCGAGGCGTCGATTTTTTTTTAATTTTTTCACTCAATTAATTTCTTTTAAATACAATGTGTCCCACTTACCATGCTCACCATGGGTATCTTTTTAACTGTGAGAGATACGAGGTCGGTTAAATGAAACCAAATGTGGAGTCTGTCAAGGCCAACTATAATGTGAAAAAATATTTTGATAAAATCTATTCGTTTTTGTTTTATACGCAAAAAACAGATTTTGATCATTTTCATGTTTCCTCCATAACTTCTTTATTCATGAAAATATTCAAATAGGAATTTCACAAATATCACGCAATTCAAAATCAAAGTCCAAGAAACATATCCTCTTGCAAAAAGAAAATCAAACCTGAGTGAATGATTTCTCATTGACTAATTTATTTCATCATGTCATAATGTACTTTTCATGAGCATTTTGTTTTATTTTTTTTTTCATATTCTGTTGTTTATTTCAATAACTATAATTTAATTTGATAACGCATGAATAATCTCATACCAGATATGAATCTGTCTGATTATTCATGTTATTCCATTGTAAATGTTAATGATTATATTTATATGAGATGCAATGTAATGTTTATAGCAAAGATTGAGTTAAAATACATTCTCATGGCAGTTTTTCAAAGTGATTTCGAAAAAAATATGAAATTTATACCAACTCTTCTAGAATTTGAGATATCAGCACCAACTTTAGTTTTTCAAATGTAGTTCATAGCTCACTATGACCTAGTTACAGATAACTTTTTTTTGTCTTACAGATCATATGTCGCAGTAATAGTTTTGTGTTGATAACAACGGATTTATCGTCATTTATACAAAAACAAAAAATTATTTGGAAGCCGCCATCTTGAATTTATGAATTTTAACAAAAAAATCATGATCTCCGACCTCAAAAACCCCCACTTACCAATGTAATCCGCCATCTTGGAGCAGCCATTTTTTTTAATTTCAACAAAAATTCCATAATGTATTGTCATTCAAAATTGGTGAGTGGGGGTTTTTGAGGTCGGAGATCATGATTTTTTTGTTAAAATTCATAAATTCAAGATGGCGGCTTCCAAATAATTTTTTGTTTTTGAATAAGTGACGATAACTCTGTTGTTATCAACACAAAACTATTACTGCGACATATCATCTGTAAGAGAAAAAAAAGTTATTTGTAACTAAGTCATAGTGAGCTATGACCTACATTTGAAAAACTAGAGTTGGCGCTGATATCTCAAATTCTAGAAGAGTTGGTATAAATTTCATATTTTTTTCGAAATCACTTTGAAAAACTGCCATAAGAATGTGAAATTCCTATTTGAATATTTTCATGAATAAAGAAGTTACGGAGGAGATATGAAAATGATTAGAATCTGTTTTTTGCGTATAAAACAAAAACGAATAGATTTTATCAAAATTTGTTTTCACATTATAGTTGGCCTTGACAAACTCCACATTTGGTGTCATTTAACCGACCTCGTATCTCTCACCGTTAAAAAGATACCCATGGTGAGCATGGTAAGTGGGACACACTGTATACTTCGCTGGTCTAGCTAGACGCTTGTCATAAAGTACTGCTCAGGATCCAAAGATATCAATCGGAAACTTCGACTGCTGTTGAGGTCAACGTTCCATATCAACAACAAAAAGGGCCTACCAAATGTTGAACGTTCCTGTGGTCTCGTTTAAGACTCCCATGGCACTTTTCGGGTCCGGGGCATACGAACTCCAATTACTCGCCACACAAGAACTCAATATCGTGCCGCAAACGTCAACGGAGTTCAACGACACCGCACACATATCGCTGACTTTATAAAAAATAGAAGAAAGCTCGTCAATCCATTCCCTCAAACGGTTTCTGTCTTGTATTGAACTTGAGGTTTCGAGGTTATCGAGCTCAGCGTCTGTCGGAAGGAACTTTTTGTATGTCCCCTTGAAGTCTTTCGGGGTCTTCGAGCCCCCGTTGACTAGGGGAACTTGATGGTCTTTTATGGTATTGCCGAGATGATATTCCAATGGCAGTACCAGAAATTTCGCTGAGGCAAGAAGAGAATCTTTGTAGATCAACTTGATGTGCCATATTCCTGTAACAAATGGATTATGACAAGATTGATCTTTCCTCATGGTATGGTTTCCCATATCATTGTCGATCTAAATGAAAACCTAGTAGGCGACCTAGTACGCGAGGAGGTACAATATTGTCTGTTCTTTGAATCAAAATCTGTCTGCCTGTCAAGTGGCGCTGGCATCCTGAAAATGGAAAAAGCTCATTTGTTTCTGTCAAAATAGACCATATTAGGTTGATATTCTCTTCTTCTATTTTTCTCCAATATGTACTCAACCACAGACGTACTTTCCATCATTGACGTGATATTTGATAGGAAGACGATGGAGAAGATTCATGTAATCATAAAATCATTTTCTGAAAGTTGTCATTAACTTATAACTTCGTCTTTGTGGATGTGTTGAACTTTGATTTCCTTTCTTGGAAATAACAATTATACCTATACCTAATCATTTCTTCTAATATTGGTTTTCTATCAGAGTTTGTTGATTGGTTTGTGAGTGCGATTGTGTTATTTTGCAATGTCATCTGAAAACTGCGCACTCCAGGAGGTGAAGGTGTAATTGAATTATCAAGACATGGTTTCCCCAATCCCCACTGTTGTGAATTTGAGCCTCAAATCCTGAGGCGTCAATGGGTTCACGCCATATTCATTGGATATCAAGGTGAACTTTTTTTCTTGAATCACATAATATTTGGAACTTAATGATATTTATATTTCAGGAATGTGAGTTTTTGAAGTAAGCGAACATGATACTATATGTTTCCAACATTTTAAGGGAACTGTTTCTTGCCAATGAAGAATAGGAAACGGTTTTGGAAAGAGAGTACGGTCCCAAGTTTGTTCAAGGTAGAAATATATAAATAAAATGGTATTTAACAAATTTGTACCTATACTAACTAACTAATTATTAGTTTTGGTATGAAATTCACCAAGAACTTGACTTTGGTTCCTCTAAAAGTTGTTCCATAGTCAAAAGTCATTAAATTCATTTCAGAATGGTACAGGACATTGAAACTAGGGACAATATTTTTATATTTTCAGACTCGGCAATGTTGTTTGGAATATGATGCTGAAGAGGAATTCCTGCCTTAAGGAACAGGACCTGACGATGAAGAAGCATCTGAGGAGGAAACGGGCATTTGAACAGATATTATAGAATGATAATAAATAATAATAAAGTTCATTCAAAATGTTGACTTAAATATAAATTAAAAAGATACATATTGGTATTGAATATTCCTGAGGTTTAATTTGTGCCAATAATAGACACATCTTCTCATATTTAGTGAAGTTCGTAGCTTCAATAAGATGATTTAATAAAAAATAATCATTGTTTTACTTCAAAAATACTTCACCTATATACAATATTTGTACAATATATATAGTGTTTTCAAACGTATCTGCCAATACATCATCTGTACAACAATAAACAGGGTATCAGAAGAGAACAAACTATATAGTAGAATAAAAATTGAAATAATTCTTCATAATTATGTACAATTTATTAAAAAAATTAAATTGTATTGCCATTCATACAATACATACAAGTTATATTCCAATAAAAAATTCTAAATATCCCAGCATCTTGACAAAGAACCCTGAACAATAGAATACCATATATCTGAGGATGATTCCTATACAATCTTGAAATCACTTTACTCTAGTGAAATTCTGAGTGGCTCACTACGAAAATGGTCCTGAGTGTGCTGGAGTGGAATATCACATGTTCCTCATCATCTAATTGATTGCTTGAAAAATGGATAAATTGAATATACATTGGGGTGTGTATAATTTGTAGCCTAGAATGAAATGCCTGGCTATTTCCAGCAAACAAATCGTTGTTCTTACTGCTTATCTGGATTCAGCTCATCGAACTACAGGATGAAAAGTTTCTGATTTTATTCACTGCCCCATTTTCTTGTGTGTTTTTTCATAAAATCTTGTGAACTGGATATTTTTGCAGCTCGACTTTCAAGGAGGTACCTATCTATAAAAAATATAATGATATTTTGTGTTTGGAGCAGAATATCCATGAGACATTGATGAAATAACCAGATTGAGTCTAACCTTAGTGCTTCTATATATTTATTTCAGATGGTAAATTTTCCATTCTGTTCTGGAACATCATCATCCTTCTGGTACATTCCTTCTGAACATTACTCACATAATGATTTCTAATGTGATACTTCCACATCACTCATAGTTTTCCGTTTTTCAACTGAAAAGCTATTAATGTAAGTAGGTACTCTTCGCTGTAGGTAGGTACCTGAAATTTTCAAGTATATAGTGATTCCGATGTGTACATGGTTTACATCACTAAAGACATGTTTTCACTGCAAATAATGGAATTTCACGAATTATAGAGTAACTTATCAAAAATATAGAAGGAAAAAAGCAGCCCCTACCTTTCTGCTTGGCTTGCATGTCGAAAAAGTGTAATAGCACTATTGAGTTTCCGAAGTTTCCACAGTTCCAACTTGAATTCAAGTTGCATCATGAATCATACTAATACAGCATTGCCTAAACATCTTCCTGCTTCCATTCAAGTATAGGTAGATGGTTTTCATACTTGATAATATCCTTCGTGATAATGTTTCATTTTCGGGATTCCACATGACAGATTTTTATTTACAAACTTGACAGGACCATGAAAAATGTTACGGTTAGGTCTGACAAATGAATAACTTAGTTTACTTGGTTCACATTGATGTCTCTGTACTACTGAACGCCTTCATTTATTTTTTCAAAGAACAGACAATATTATGCTCTCGCCTACTAACTACCTAACTAGGTTTCCATTTAGATCGACAATGCCCATATTATTTTCTAATCAGACTTTGGTCTGTTTATCACCTTGACATTTATATACGGAGCTCTGTGGAGGAAACGGTTTTTGATACTGAACTAGTTTTGTTGGTACTCCAAAACGGAAGCAGGCCCATTTGCAAGGAGAACACGTTTGAATTAATGGTAGGAAAAACTTCATGAGGTCTGTCAAATTGTTGAATATAAAAAATTCAATACTAGTTTAGTATCCCATTTCATATCATAAGGACTGTAGATATGACCATTATTACAAATTATATTTTACCTTTTTTTCACTAAACATGGATAAATCACAAGAAAATCATATTTCTAGTTCACTCATATAATAAAAAAAAATGTGTCGTACAATTGTGTTATATATAAATGGTCCAATGATGGAAAAAGAAGGGCATATTGTTCTAAATGCGATCCAGCAGACAAGTGGAAAAGAAGGTGACATTTGTAACTTTATAGTGAAGTATCTGAATAAATAATGGTTTGTTCACATTTTCATTATCAAATTCGTGTTTTTCAGACAAAAATACGTAGGTACCAAAAAAAATTGAAAAAAAACCATTGCATGATAAGTGCAAAATTACCGTATCCGGGATTTCAGAACTTTTGTGGCGGCTTTTTGATCAGCGGCTTTTTGATCAGCATCAAATTGCGCAACTTTGTCCTAGTTCAACTGACTTTGTATCCGTTATGGTTACCGAGATTCCACTAATACCTCTCGAATTTGGGACACCATGTATATGTACTACTAGTAGTACTAGGCTGTGTCAAGTCATCCGTCTGATCACAGTGTTGATACCAGAATGGTCAATGGCTGACTACCATCCAGAAGTTAACGTGGTAACTCTGTGGGCAGGTTTGAAACGTGACCGATATTCCCAAACAGCTGGTTGGGCAGACTGATATGGTCAGACTTCATACTGAACGTATGTGCCCGGCCAAGCCATACACAGCCCTACTAATATTGATTCTTCTTTCGAATCCGCTGAAAGAAAACAAATTCATTACTTACCCGGCAATATGGGATGCTTCAAACTGGGCTTGACATGCCCGACCAACGAGCTCTCCTCAATCGAGAACTCCACCGCGTCATGCAACCGCCCATCCGGGCCCACCCAAAGGCACGTCATGTTGTACACCTTCGAACCGCCCGTCGAGAAGAAATCGTAGACGAGCACCGGCTCGGAGTACGGCGACAACAACCTCAGAAAGTTTCTCGACATCTGCTCCTTCTGATCGTAGTCGCTGCTGACCTATAGATTGCCTCAATGTACTTGACACTTTTGACAGTGAGACATAACCAGAAACGAATTTTAAGCGAGGCAAGGACAAGAATATGTTTTTTGCTTATAGGTCGCGTCATATATCTACTACTCATATATGTTTTTTGTTTTTGATATACATAAACGACCTTGCTTATTCTGATCTTAATGGGAAGATTACCCTCTATGCGGAAGATGCAGTTGTGTTTTACTCTGGGCAACAAGATGACATAGAACACCAAATTGGAAGAGACATAAATACTTTTGGAATCTTGGTGTGCTCAAAACTATTTATGCTTGAATGAAAAAAAATGTCGATGTATTAATTTTGGTAACTTCAAACGAACTGATATCACGATAAACAGTTCAATTATTAAAGAAGTTGAGTGTGTTAAATTTCAAGAAACACCTTTCCAGTGTTTAGTCGATGCTTTAAATTCGTCTCAGAACTACTCAATAATAGAATACAAAAACAACTATACTACTCTTTCATTTATTCTCATATGTCATATCTCTCAAGTGAGTGGGGAAAGGCTTTAAATGCCAGTGACAGAAAATCTTTGCAGATAGCACAGACTGAGGCAATAAAAGTGGGACAAACATATTGATGTTCTGACAAAAAAAATATCTCCAATTATTGGTGCATTGAGAAGATGTCCCAAACTTGATATTAAAATTGCAAACATGATTCTCTACTCTCATATACTGAGTCGTATCAACTATTTAATAAATGTTTGGGGATCTTGTTCAAAAAATAATTTCAATAAAATATCAACATTATATAGAAAATCGTTAAAAGTATTGTATCGTCTCCCATTTGATACACCAACCAATCAATTGTATGAAATAACAAATACGTATTCTTTAGATGAAATATATAGAATTGAAACTCTCAAAATATCATATAATATCATAAATAAAAAAATGAAGTCGAATATCATTTTGATACGGAATTCTGAAATTCATAATCATGAAACTAGACAATATAACTTGTTCCATCTTGACGCCGCTAGCTCCCTAATCGGACAAAAAAGATTCACTCATTCAGCCTTAACTGAATTCAATAAACTACCTGATAATATAAAAAATTGCAGAAATATAGGTATATTCAAAAATGAAGTAAAAAAACTGATTATTTCTCAGCGGACTTGATAAAATTAATCATGCCATTTTTTTTACAAATATTATTCTTTGTTTGCCAATTTACAGTTGTTGATATATTTTGAATGATGCTATGTTTACCTATAGGTATATAATTATGTACTTCCTTATACAAGAGCCTATTCTGTCTGGAAGCTATTTGTTCAATTTATAAAATAAATAAATAATATAAGGAAACCGGGTAACTAAATTTGGCAAAAGCTATCAAATTTGAATCATCGAAAACTATTCATAAAATAAATACTAACTACATGAACGATCAAACTTATTTTTAATAACCCGTTTCACAATTACCAAACAAGAACGGCAGACAATTTACGGCCAAATAGATTCAAATCTACCAAAACTCTCAATAACTTGCAAAGCTGTTAATCATTATAATAAACTACCAACTGAACCAAGAAATAATGATAGTATGAAATCGTTCAGAAAGCAGTTGTTTGATTTCATTCTGAATATAGACTGAAAATTTGTGTTGTAATAGGGATGTATTTTATGTGTATTATTTCGTGACATATTTTTTTTATGTGCTTATCTATTTCTTGTCATGTACTAAATTCTAGAGCAATCATTCAATGTCTCATTAAGTCAATGTATTACTTTTAAAAACAGTATGTAATGGATTATGGGATCCTGTACAAGCTCTCTGTTTTGTGGATCTGATTATGTGAAATAAAAAAATATATATGAAGCAAAGTAGCTGTCTTCAAAGCGGGACCAACTTCTGTCTCTATAGGTAACGAAATCGACCAGTAGGCGTTGATGCCGACGTAGGGAACAAATAATACGAAACTTGTCAAACCAATATGGCTGTTTCCATCCTTCACTTTCCGTCCTTATAGATTCAAAAAGTACCTCTCATTTTGGTCCCATTTTTGTTGAGATATCGTATAGGCAATGAGCCATATATAGATATAGTACATATTATATGCATTCTCACTACTGAGATCATTTGAGTTAGAAGGAAGTGAGACGGATCAGAGTTGTCGATTGAATAAAAAGAATACGTTTTTATCTGTCAGGAAGGGTAAGGAAAGAAGGCATAACTCAACATAATTTAACCAAAATGTAAAATGGCTGAGGAAATTGATGAAGAGCATAGAAGTATTATTGTAGTGAGTATAATAATTTTGGAAACCAGTGGACTGAAACTTCATAGCTAAAAACTTGTAAAAATAGAAATAATTCCTCACAATTTTCAGCACAGTTCCACAGAATTACTAGAATTAATCCAGTCTCACCTTTTTCTCACTACAACACCAGATGAATAGCAAGCTCAGTTGTGGTGAGGGGAAAGAAAAAGTCTCGATGAGTTCTTAAGCCAACTCACATCAGACTAAGATAAATGAGACATGTAATACAACTGAGATATTGAGCTGCACTGAGAATCTTGGTAAATCTCAGTCAAAGTTGGTAAAAAGAATATTACTATAGATTTGCCTCAATGTACTTGACACTTTTGACAGTGAGACATAACCAGATACGATCTTGAAGCCGATCATATGTGTTTCCAGACATGGACAAAAATATGTTTTTTGCTTATAGCGAATACCATTCATCAATCTAAATAGAAACACGCTAGTTAGTAGGCCAGAGGTATAATATAATAACCAAACATTTGTCTGCCTGTCATTGGCGCTACTGTACAGGAATCTGTCAGTAGCTCATTTGTGACAAACGTCTCTTGCCAGTAATTCATTTAGTGCCGTGCTTCGGAAAATCTGTTATCAGAAGGTTATGAGGAAGGAAAATATCGTTTCAAAAGTAGTTGACCTCACGGCCTAAATGAACATTTTTCCAGAAAAATCACTTAAGTGAAAAAAAAAGGAGTTGAACACAAACCACTGCCGTGGAAGTCAGACGGAGAGAACACTGAGATATCAATCTACTCAAAATTTGTATCTATGAGGAGAGAAGAAATATCGTGTGTTGGATTGTTTACATACTTTGTACGGAAAAGGTCCACCTAGGCCGAGTAAGGTTAAAAGTAGGCTCATTTTTTTTTCATGCAGAAAAGATATTTTCCTTCTCCATACCTTAAACCTTCTGATAACCTTGAGAGTACACTCGCCTTTAGAAAACATGTCCCACATGGACGGTGTGAGCTCTCTAAATCACTGCTGCAATGAGAGCGCTTACACCATTCAACCTCGTCATGTTTTCTGAAGACGTTCAAGTACACTTTTAATTTTCATAAGCGGTTAGTTGTATTTCTAATGAGTTTAAATAGCTTCGAGTAGTAATTATTTTGAATGCCCATTCAATATTTGTTCTATCTAGTGCTTCTTTTAGCTTATAGTTATTTCACTGTATGATTTTGAGAATGTCTGGGTTTGATTGTGCTGTGCATAATGTCGCATATAAACTGTCGTGTTCCATTCTGCAATCTAAGAGGTGATGTGAGAATATCTATACACTCACACACTGTTTCCCCAATGGTGTAAATATTCAATTCATATCAAGGTGAAATATTCCTCATGGATCGCATATTCTCGAATAATGCATTGATATTTCATGAATGACGCATTTGAAGTGACTGAGCATTATTAAATATGTCCGGAATAACGGAATTTCATGAATTATAAATCAACATCAAAAATATTGAAGGAAACAAGCAGCCCCTCCCTTTCTGCTTGGCTTGCATGTCAAAAAAGTGCAAACGGTAACGTTTTTTTCATCACAACACTGACGAGTTTCAGCCGAGGTTTCCGCAGTTCCTACTCGAATTCATGAGATGAGAGATTGTTATTTACAAACTCGACATGAAAAATTTCAAGACGTAGAAGTCTCGACGGCACAAACTGTCATAATACGGCAATTTTCCCATTTTTTTTCTCAATGAACATACAATATTATACCTCTTACCATGGTGGAAATATAATATGGTGGGCTACTCAGGTACATTGAATTCATCTTTCCTGCGCATAACGTCATTGCGAGTCTATACTCGCACCAAAATAATCACGAGGACTCGGGCGAACTGATAACTCTCTGAGCAATTGTTTTACTCGCAGTGATGTGTACGAAGATGTGTCGTACTATAATTCCACCATGCCTCTTAACCTACTTACCAGCAAACTAGCTTTCCCATTTAGATCGACAATGGTTTGACAAACCTTTGAATTTGATGTCATGTACGATCGTGTACTGTCAGCTCTTGCTTTTTTCATCTATTTATTTGCGGTTTTATCTGCCTGTCAGTTCTTGTCAGAGTGTCCATACTCTAGATAATGATGGAAATAAGATATGGTGCGCCTATTCGGCCATCATTACGTATTGAAAATTTCAGAAAAATCACTCGACCGCCTACTATAATTTCTCTACGTCACAACGAGCGAGACGTGATGGTGCTAGATGGTGATGCTGCTATTGCTGCTGTGACGAGTGTAAATAAAATGGCAAATGGCATTTTAGGTACGCAGAACAGACAAATTTGCGACTATTTTAAAACTGACAGATGTCATAATTGTGCAATGACACCATCTATTAGAAGATCGACGGAACCATTGCTCTCGCTGTTCTCGAGAGGTCGAGTAAAATTTCTGAAACAAAAGCGCATCAGTAATTACACCATATCTTACTTCCATCATACTCTAGATATACCTACCTGCAACAGCTCCAGATGGCCCATCAAAGGGGAATTCCTCGTGACGCTCAAGTGCGACACAGGCCTCAATGCCACCTCGATTTTGTGCCCCTCCGAAGACTTGAATGCGAACAGGGTGGATTCGTAGGTGTCGTTGGAATGGTATGAGTGGACTTCCAGTAGGTCGCCCAATTTCAGTAGGCAGGACGAGTTTGTTCGGAGGAAGGAGTTGTTTACTCGGCGTTTTATACTCTCGCCGAGGGTGAGAAAAGCGTCGTCGGAGGTTGTCCTTGGGTCGTGGTGATGGTAGACGCTCTGCCAGTAACTGCGAATTTTATACAGGGTTGGGCAAAAGTATGGAACCAGGTGAATATCTCGGCAACCGTTTGTTTGATTTTTTTAATATACAGGGTGTCCTTAGACCAGTGGGACAGTTGAATATCTCCTGAACCAATAGGAATTTTCAAAATATTATAATTTCACATCATATCGCATTATGAGTGCTAACTTCAGGAATGACTATATTTTCTACAAGGGGCGCAAGAAACGCTCATAAAATCTAACATCAATTTTTTCAAATGGAACACACTGTATTTCATTGCTTTATCATATTCTCCTTGAAGAGCTAAATTCAACGACCTAGCACACTTGGGGTCTAGCGGGAATGAAGCATTTTCATATTCTCTTTGAAGAGCTGAATTCAACGACTGACTGAAATTGAGAATTCTACACCACCCTGTATTTGTTTCAATTAAATACGAGTAAATAGTAAATCAAAAGTTAACACATGGACATGTAAGCCGTTTTGACCAATAATGAATAGTTTTGACACAAAAAATTCCCAAAAATGAAAAATTTCGATTTTTCACAGCCTATAACTCGGAAATCATTCCCGCTAGACCCCAAGTGTGCTAGGTCGTTGAATTCAGCTATTCAAGGAGAATATGAAAATGCAATGAAATACAGGGTGTTCCATTTGAAAAAATTGGTGTTCGATTTTGTCAGCCTTTCTTGCGCCCCTCGTATAAAATATAGTCATTCCTGAAGTTAGCACTCATAATGCGATATGATGTGAAATTATAATATTTTGAAAATTCCTATTGGTTCAGAAGATATTCAACTGTCCCACTGGTCTAGGGACACCCTGTATATACAGGGTGATTTCAAAACGTGGTGGATTTGAAAATGTTATCGTCGATGTTGCCACTTTTTCAGTTATTCCGGAATTATTATCAACTTCCTTATTTTAAATGGAACACCCTGTATTTAATTGAATTTTCAGATTCTCCCTGAGAAGCTGATTTCATTGATTCATCACACTTGGGGTCTAGCAAGGATGATTACTGTTCAAAATCGAGATTTTTCAACTTTAGGATTTTTTTGAGTCGAAACTATTCATTATCGGTCAAAACGGCTTTCATGTCCCTATCTCAACTTTTGATCTACTCTATCTATTGGTATTTAATGGGAACAGATTCAGGGTGATCAGATTTCTGAATCTTGAGCCACCCTGTATTTGTTTCAATTAAATGTCGGTAGATAGTGAATCAAAAGTTGACGTAGGGACATGTAAGCCGTTTTGACCAATAATGAATAGATTCAACACAAAAAAATCTTAAAGTTGAAAAATCTCGATTTTGAACACCCTATATCTCAGTAATCATTCTTGCTAGACCCCAAGTGTGATGAATCGATGAAATCAGCTTTTCAGGAATAAGGAAGTTATTAGTAATTCCGGAATAACTGAAAAAGTGGCAACATCGACGATAACACTTTCAAATCCACCATATTTGAAGTCACCTGTACGTATATTAAAAAAAAATCAAACAAACGGTTACCGAGATATTCACCTGGTTCCATACTTTTGTACAACCCTGTATATTACCAAGTTAAAAACTGTTCATTTTACATTTCCATGGTGGTACACTATAATTTTTTTCAGTTTGTGTGTATACCAATAGTTTGTTCACCTAACAGCTAATGTTTTAACAATTTTACATATAAAATACAATGAATTTCAGTTCAAGTTCTTAGTCTAAATTATTAAAAAAAATTCTTAAGGATGTTCAAAAACGAGATTTGGCTTTCAAGCCTAGTCTTTTAGAGAAACGAAGAAAAAGTTGACTTTCATAGTGAATTACAAAGACATGATGAACAGTACAATAAGGTGAATGATAAATAGTGAGATCACTCAAGTGGTATGAAACTTGTGTTTTCAATGCCTTAGCATACAGAATATGCCATTTGTTAATTATATTATAGTGTATATTATATTTTATATTATTCAAGACTATCCATTGTTGAATCTTTTTTTTACATTTTTACATGGAATGGAATAGGATAGGATTTTGATCTAACGCGCAATTGCATATGTCAAGAAACTAGCATCTACATTGGTTATGTTCCGATATTGCTGACATTACTGGCCATAGTGAGCAATTTTGGAACACTAAACAGTAGCAGTAGCTTCAAATTTTCATCTTATTTCGGAACGATTCTGGCACTGACAGCAAAATATAACCATAACCTATGATTTTTCGATATTTTGTTTTGTTGGTTTTCATTTTCATCATAATTATTATTATCTTCTTTACTCACGTTGAAATTATGGATATTGTCTTAGAAGACATATTATCCGATATTGATTCTTCAAGATTCTTGCCTCACAATAGACTTTTCTTTTTTTTTCTCTCTTTTTTACACTAGTAAATTTAATAATATCTTGTACATACAATAATGATGAATTTACACTCATGTATAATCACTGTGTAACACATGCTGAAGGACCTCGGTCGGTGGCCTTCTGGGTATCCAATAAAGCTCCTTAAATATTATTATTATTTTTTATATCAAAAGTGGGAATAACGAACCATCTTGTAGATTAGTGGGTGTTTCAGCGTCTACTGCCATTGTGAGATCTTCCAGTTCTAATTCATACATTTTCCTCAAGTATTTGATAAAAATATATAATTTTTTATCGACTCATACTTAACCCTAAGGCCTAGTTTCACCAGCGGTGATATAATCTCAGTTCAGGTAAGCTACGTTTGAGTTAAACCAAGGATTTAATCTCGAATATCGTCGTAGCCGTTTCTTCTACTCTTTTTCATCTTTCCAAGGGCACGTTTAGCTAACCGTAATTAAAGCTCAGAATTAACAAGGCAACAGTGTAGAATGGCCATGAATGACTAGAAATTTGTCGGTCTGTGTGTGCTCTGTCGACATAATATTATGAAAACTCTCAAGTTGAGTTTTTTCACTATATGAACAAAACAAATCAGTAAAAAAGATTTCGATTGAGAAGAACGAGAGAGAAAAAAGAAAGAGACCAATTTCAGTCTTGCTGAAAAAACTCATTTCATGGACATGGTTGAAGCTTGATTCAACTTTATTAAAAATTAATACAAGCGAACTGAATAAGTAATCTCTCTCTCTCTCTCTCTCGTATCCAACGAGGACCTCGCACCGAAGAATTGATTATCTTCGTATTCTTCGGAAGCAAGATCATCATATGACCGATATAGAGCTGCCATTATCTAATAACTATATTGAAAGAAATCTCATAATCTCAAAACCATAATAACCATACCATAATCATGCCATCCATAAAATGCATAACCTTGCTTTTCATTATACATGACAGATAACGAGCGATTATTTCCGTAACTGGTGAAAAATTGCCAGTTAAGAAATAATCTGGATTAATCGAGTTAATCGGTGATTCTGGTATGGTGAAACGATTCGAATTCTTCATGGTGATTAAATTCTTCAGTTAACTCCAAAATGGAGATTAAATCCATTGGTGAAAGCGGGCCTAACCATTCAAACGCTTAACCCAACATATCATGAATACTGGCACTAAATCACCATTTCTGCACAAGTGGCCAACAGTAAACTTTTAGCCCCTGGCAGGATTCCTTACAATGACTCGCGAAAACGTGGCCAGTAAATGTCAGTAAAAATCGGAACGATAAAATATACTGGCCAGTACTGTTCGGGAATATCGGAAAATGCTCATTATCAGACATAAATACAAACATTCGATCATAGAATATTAAATATATGCTCTTCCGAACTCGATATCTCACAAGTGCGTGTGTACCTCCTTTGTAGATCCATTAGTCAAGTTTTTTCTATACGTAGCATCAGAGGATTCACGAGAGTGTAGTATGAAAACTACTAATAGAAATCGTTAGACCCCATGGAGACTTTAGTTCAGCACACTTTGAACTACATTCCCCCAAAATTTCAGGTAAATAGACAGAAATCAAAATTGCATCTGATTTGTGCGGTGTCCTTTACCTTCGCAAATTCTCGACTGCCCTAGGAGGCTGCTCCAACCCGTACAGCCACAACTCCAGCCGCAATATCACCGCCTGGTTCACCACTGGCTCGAACTTCCTGGCAAAATAAAGCTGTCTGGCCTGCGTGTTCTGTATACGCGGCCAGTCTTCGACCTTGAAGTCGTTGGGGCTGCAGCCGCACCAGTCCACCACGTGCTTGTACTGGCACTTGCAGCCCAGTTTCCGCTTCCAGTTGGTCACGTGCAAGTTGTTGTCCACGTAGGTGGCGCAGAACTGCGAGTTTCTCAGCGCCGTGTGGAAAAACGATTCGGCCGGCAGCAAGGTGTGTCTGAATATCGACAATGGGCTAGTGAACTGATTTTTACCTATTATTTTTTAGTCACAGTCTCATTCAAACGGTCAAAGAACCTTTTTTTTTTAGTGAAAAAGGTCGTACCCTCGGATAACCGTCGAGAGTTAAAATGACAGCAATATATTTCAACAATGAATTCAATATTAACACCTGGAAGGAAGATTGCCGGTTTCTCGAATAGCACAGAGTGTGTCAGGGGCAGCTGCAACAAAGATAGCTTGTGTTACGGTAACCTCTCTTTCACACTCGTGTTGTCTAAAGGCGGATTGGTGCATCAATTTTTCTTTAGACAATGACTTGGGATCTTTTTTTTTTTTCATCTAAAAAGGCAAAAAAGTGAAGACAGTTTTTATTATGTGAAATATCGCAAAATTTGGCGTGTTTTGTTTCTTCAAAAGGCATGAATTTATAGGTGTGAATTGATTATTGTTGAACAGATTTGTGATTTCGAATTAATAAACAATGGTTGTTTATGTTGTGTTCCCATTGGATGCAGAAGAAGCAAGACAAAACAGAAATTGTCCTTCATGGGTAAGTTGAAAATTGTTCAGATTCTTAGAAAAACTATAGTAATTTATTTTCAGGATGTGTCTGTAGATGTTCATAACTTGGATTCTAAGGACAATGTTTCTCATATGGACATTGATTTGCTTACAACTTCCAGCTCCCATGTAAGTTTCAAAGTTAATTGATAATGAAACCCACAAACTGTTTCATTCGAGAAGAAGGCCTATTCTATTGCGATGAAAAGTGAAAACACTGAAACAAATAGTAAAAAGGTGAATGACAATCTTGATGAGGTACTAAAATGACATTTTGAAGGTGAAAAGTACAAGTTCAAATTTTTAAACTCAAGAGCTACATCATAAACTAAAACACCAATACACCATCGAAGACGACAGATTAGTGAGAGTAGAGAAAATAAAAGACTTAGGTATCGAGTATGATACTACATTGTCATTCAAATCACACATTGACCGGGTTTGCGCACAAGCACTAAAAAGTCTGGGGTTTGTACTTAGGAATAGCAAACATTTTCGAAACTGGAAAACAGTTCGGTTTTTATATAATTCACTGGTTAGACCTAAGCTAGAGTATTGTTCTGTAATTTGGCACCCAACATCAATAGTACAAACTCAGACATTAGAAAAAGTGCAGAATCGCTTATTACGTTACCTTTATCTTAAAAAATATAATGAATACCCAGACTACGTAACTATACGATCCCTCAGGCTTCGAAATGAGTTCAATATAAAGAGCTTGGAAACTAGAAGACAATTATCACTTGTGACCATGTGCTATAAATTGTATAAAAAAATGTATAACTGTCCTAAACTAAAATTACTTCTAACGGTAAGAATCCCCTCTCGTGCAACCAGACTCCAACAATTTTTCGAAATACCTCTCCCTCCCACACGTAATTATTGTTCACCTGTTACTACCATGGTGAAACAAACTAACAATACGTTGCAATTATCAGATCTCAGTTTTGATCTCACTCCGAAGAAATTTTTTGTTGGACTCCATCAATATCTATCTGGACCTACCTTAATTTGATATATATACTATGTCAATTTACTTTCAACCGGTTTTTTGAGTATTAATTATTACCTGTAAGTATGTTATTAGCTTCGATTATTAGCTGTAGATAAATACTATTTTTCTCATGTAATTAAGTTCTTGTAACTTGTTTGAGAAATAAATAAATAAATAAATAAATAAATAAATAATATTCTCTTTTCAGATTTGCCTTTGCAGCTTCTCTTTCTCCAGAAAGGAAAAAATGGAGGTGTACATTCTGGGCGACGCAGATAATCATCTTTAATTAAAAAAATCATCCTAACATTGTACTTTTATTCACTTTTTATTCACCTTTAATTCACCTTCTAGTAGTGAAATGTTTAGGTACTCTTAAAAATTAGGCTTAAAATAGACCTTAGGTACTCGATACCATTCAAGAACCTCTTTTCAAATTTTTCTATCGTTTTTCTATTTCTTCTGATACTGCTGAGACATTGAACTTCGCTCACCCTGTACAATATATTGAGACATTTGAATGAAAATATATAATTTCAATTTTGTATTCATTTGCCTTCCTAATTCTGTAAGAATAAAAATGGAATTCCACTTTTGAGTCAATAAAAAAATCAATAATTATTTTCAAATAATAATTGATTGCAAAATTATCCTTTTTCCTAAAAGAATAATTATATTTAATCACATATTCTCTTAAATAAAAGCAAGAAAACAAGAAAATATTTCAAATAATGCGAGCGCATTCCATTAGCCAACATAAGATAGAAAGAGATGGGTATCCGTAACCACTGCGAGTTGCCTAAACAATATTTTTGCCTCACTCGTCGTTCACAGAGGATCCCTTCCAGTTGTTTACATTGAGTTCAATGATTTTAGGTCGTTGTATTATGCACTTCACACTCCAACTAACGCCCTTTGGCAAATAAATATAGCTATTTGTCGAGACAACCAGCATTTTTAAACTAACAAGTTAACAAAAATTGTCACACACTCTGTTTGAAGGGTTCTCTAAGCATCATTGACCTCTGCCATGTCTGCTTGTGCAAATAGTCAAGGAAAATTCTTTGGCGATCTTGTTCCAATAATAGTTTCAACAAATTACTGATGCTCCAACAGAAGCTCAAGTTTCTACACTTGGCCATGAATAATTTACACATTAGGTGATCACAAAATTCAATAAACTACCGGATGATAAAAAAACTGCACAAATATTTGACAATTCAAAAGTGAAATCTAGAATATTCTGATGCAAACAACTGACCAAAGCTGACACACAATATGAATTTACATACATACAACAATATCAAAAGGGTAATTACTTATTACATTGAATCTGTTCGGTTATTCCTGTCCCCCTACTGCCGTCCACAGTAGAATTTTGTACGTCTAGCGCTAGTCATTGGAATGTATTTTTCAATTACGAAAATAATGAACTTGTTTACATGCCTTTACATGATTCATGGTGAGTGTTGCCAAAGTGCAGCAGCAACATTTCGTTTGTACACGGAAATAATCGTTAATTTGGTGCAAAGATGTCGTGACACAGGGTATTTGAGGGAACAAAGAGAAGACCTTTGAGGATATCCTGTAGAGAAAATTATAATATTTATCTGGGGCATCAGTAATTCAATGAATTGAAGATATTTAAAAAAAAGTGAGTCAAACCCATTACCTGAATATCTTCAATAAACCGGCAACCAAATGGTCAGGATCGGGCGGTGCTACGTATTCCACGAATGGCCTTGAAAGTGCCACCCAATCGCTGCCTCCGTCCAGCTGGATACCTGCCGGCAAAACTCGGTCCCCGATTCTCCACATCCTCGTCTCGCATTCCACGAACGTCTTGAAAATGATGGAAGTAAGATATGGTGCGCGTATTCGGCCATTATGACCTATTGAAAATTTCAGAAAAATCACTCGACCGCCTACTATGATTTCTCTACATCACAACGAGCGAGACGTTGATTCTACATTTTCCCGCTGGATGGTGACGCTGCTATTGCTGCTGTGACGGGTGGAAATAAAATGGCATTTCAGGCACGCGGAACATATGTAACAGTAGGATTATTCAACTCGGAATTCGAAAAATCTGCGACAATTTCAAAACTGACAGATGTCATAATTGTGCAATGTCGCCATCTATCAGAAGATCGACGGAACTATTGCTCTCGCTGTTCTCGAGACGTTGAGTAAAATTTATGAAACAAAAGCTCATCAGCAATTACACCATATCTTACTTCCATCATTGTCTTAAATAAATAAGTGAATAGACAGGGTGTCTCATACTTAGTAGATTCCTTGGCCAAAACTAAGATAATAGTTTAAATAGATAAGTTAAGATTAGATTTATTCATCCACGTTACAAAATCAAATTCATTGGTGGAAAGTCAAGACAAGGTAGAGTATATAGGTAAAAATTAGAATTAGAATGATACAATACAGAAATATACACATTACAATTGAACTGGGTGAAAACTGATCCTCCCGTGGCATAGGCATAATTAGGTAATTTTCATTTTTTTTATAATTTGCATGTATTGTGTTTTATTCATTTTTCATTTCATTTTCCAGATTTGTTTATTTATGATTCTATATAGACTCAAATGATCCCACTCCGGCCCCAAGTATTCCCCCAATCACATTTTACGCTCTATGGCATGCTGTTTAAATTAATTTTACAAAATAAGTAGTGAATGAACATAATATAGGTACTAATGATATGTATAAATCGAAAAAGGACTTCATCTGATTCAGATCAAATTCAATTATTTATATTCCTTTGTTATTGTTTCTTATTTTATATACTAAAAGTACCTATGCAACTATATTTTGTGATATTTTTGAATATTTTTGAATTGAGAATTGGGAATATGATTATTTCTGTTTGAGAATGTTTGTTTTTGTTTATGTCATTATCCTTTGAAACCATAAACCCTATACCAGAAGCCCGTTACCTAGGGGTTATCCTTGATAACAAATTGAACTTCGAAAAACACCTTCAATCAACAAAGAAGAAAGAAATCGCCAGAGCTAAACATTCTCGTGGATCATGTCAAAATAAAGGTATCAGCACCAGGACAGCTACCTTGATTTACAAGACCATATGCCGACCCCTCATTGAAAATGGGTTCATTTTATTCAGCACCTGTAGGAAACAACATCAATAAATCTGGAAGTAGCAGAAAGAAGTTGCTTAAGAATTCTTACGAAAATTCGTCATCCAGACAACCCCATACACAACCCTTCCAATACCTTACTTTATAATTCAACAAAAGTGGAACCAATACTTCAGCGTTTCCACCGACAAAATCCAGATCATTACACCACAAATCATTTCCACCCCAGTAAACTTCCGACGAAAACATAAATATTCAGAATTCACCATCTACCAAGGATCAATACAGCTGCAACAGGAAGACTAATATTTTGTGATTATCTGTATAAATTGTTTTCTTTATCTCTCTATATTCTATAAGATTCATCATGTATATTTGCAAATCAAAGTGTATAAGTTTGTGAATAGGCTGGAAGACTCAGGTCGATAGCCTTTTGGGTAATCCCCCAATAAAGACAGCATAAAATAGACCTTGAAAATGTCTATTGAAATCTACTGAATTTTTGACAAGGTACCTATTTACTGATGAAAAAATAACGAACTGGCAACCCTGGTTTGCTGTTGTCAAATTAATTATTCGCCATATCCGTTCACATATGAATAGGACCATGATGTGAATATACGTGTTTGAGGTCGACGGAAAAATGTAATATGCATCTCGGCGAAAAACTGTCTATTGTCTCACCTGATTGCAGATTCCACTATAATAGACAGTGTCTCGTCCTTGGTAAATAAATAACTATTTTTATGAGGAACGGCCTCAACCTTCCACACAGCATACATTTTTTTCAACTAATTTTGCACAAAAGTCAACTTTTAATAAATAAACAATGCCATACCTAGTACTATCCGATGAATCATTTCATTTGCTTTTTTGCATTTTGGGATAGTTAATAGCGGCACTATAACTTTTGGGGCGTTTTTTGTGAGTCAGCCTATATAACAAAAATGAAAAAGTGTGAGTCTTTTTGACCTACCTTGTCGAGACCTTGTTTCTGGATGAACCTCTGCACTTCCCTTCCATGGGACTTGACGAAATTTCGATTTCTATTCGCCGTCAAGAACCGGGTCAGCTCAGAGACAGGCTTGACAGGGAAATCGGATTCACTGAGGTTGATGACGAAATCCCATTTCCAGTCTTCCTTGTTGAGCAGCTCCCACATGCATGATCTGAGCATTTCGAGCAGCGAAGCACCACCCCAAATGGTCGCGAACCTCTTTCGAGTTAGACGGACGTTTGGTAGTTTTTCCAGTGGCAGAAGTTCTCGGAAAAGGTAGTCTTGTCTCTGAAATAAAAAGGATATATCCTTTGTAGGGGGACAGGGCACTCGCTATGCTCCACGAAATTAGAGATGATATCATGAAAGGCTGTTACTGCCGTATTGGTAGAGAAGTGATTTCTGAAACCATGCTGGCAATCAGAGATCATGTTATATTTATTTAGAAAACTGCCAAGTCGCTCCAAATAACAGTATTCAAAGATTTTAGAAAATCTAGAAGGTACAGTGATAGGTCTGTCAATTTTTTGAGGCTCTTTCTTCTTAAAAACAAGTGTAATCTCACCAACTTTCATTGTATTAGGCATTGTACGCTGAAAATGGAGAAAAAATCTAGTGAGCTGTAGTAGCTGGTCTGTTCAAACAAGGAAAAATCACCTACAGGTTTCTGTGGCCGATACAGCAGTGCCGTCATACGGTCAAATCAAAGAAACAGTCATTTCAATTGTTTTCCTGTCAAACCTACATAACCTTGAAAGTAGTAAACGAGTTGAGCAGCTCCCTCTGCGGTGCTCTCGGCAGTCTTGGCGGGCGGCGCAGTTTGTTCAGTAAACCGATATAGTCACTCAGTAACTCAAAAATTCAAAATATCATTCCTTCTCGAAATGGTTGCCACAGACACCACAATAGTCCCCAATTTCATAACAAGGCCCCCAAACATTTATTAAATAATTGATACGACTCAGTATATGAGAGTAGATAATCATGTTTGCAATTTTAATGTCAAGTTTGAGACATCTTCTCAATGCACCAATAATTGGAGATATTTTTTTTGTCAGAACATCAATATGTTTGTCCCACTTCAACCTGTCATCAAACCAAATACCAAGATATTTTATCTGGTCAGTTTGTTTTGAGAGTTAATTTTTTATTTTGAGGTTGAGGTAAATTTTTTGTTTATTTTTTTAGTGAAAAATCATATATTCTGTTTTGTTAGTATTTATCGATAAAAGGTTAGAGTGGAACCATTTTTCAAATATTTTCAAGTCTTCATTTATTATATTTTCTAAATTTGAAGGATTCTTGTCTCCATATAAAAGTACAGGGTGATTGACTATGGATTTCTCGACTTCAACAGCTGATATCTCGAAAACGAAAAAACATATTTGAAATTTGGAAAAAGGTACTTGAATGAGATGTCATTTCCTTCTAAAAAATGTGTTCTCTGCTTGATTTTATCATGTTATATACAGGGTTCGTGAAAACAAAGTTTTTTTTCAAATGGAACCCCCTGTATATTATCGCATATTTCGAAAGAGCTATCTCTCCTGATTTCGAAGATATATACTTTTCATATATTCTATCGAGGGCTTGACGAAATATCAGCAAAATTAAATATTAATATTTGGTCCAAGTTAGCTATGGTTGAAATAGGATGAGATGATGAATAAGTGAATTGACATTTGGCCAACATTCCAGTGACATAAGTGCGCAAAATTTCGACGATTTTTTCACGATGCCATATCCACTGGAACAAAGAAGAGATATTTTGGAGTGCTATTTTTCAGTTAATAAAAATCTTGCTGAAACACTTACACTTATACTTACTTATATTTAATCTTTCAGATATGACAAGACAAAATTCAATCCGCTTCTCATTATCATCATAATTGAGTTTGTGGCATGGTCTAATTCTGAAATCCCTATATTTATATTTCTTTAAGGTATGTTGAACAAAATAATAGCTGAAACCAAACTCTCTCACTGCATTTCTTATTGACCGTGAAGGATCCTCAACAAAATACTGGATTACAAGAAGTTCCTCGTCTTCGTTGTCTTGCCTTCTCAATATTCTCTTGATATTCGACAAACTGGAAGTTCTGTCAAATTTAGCAGCCAAATACTTTACATAATTCTCACTTGGTAATCTCCTGCCTGGATAACTCCTCATAAACTTATGAAGTGTTTCAGCAAGATTTTTATTAACTGAAAAATAGCACTCCAAAATATCTCTTCTTTGTTCTAGTGGATATGGCATCGTGAAAAAATTGTCGAAATTTTGCCCACTTATGTCACTGAAATGTTGACCAAATGTCAATTCACTTATTCATCATCTCATTCTATTTCAACCATAGCTAACTTGGACCAAATATTGATATTTAATTTTGCTGATATTTCGTCAAGCACTCGATAGAATATATGAAAAGTATATATTTTCAAAATCAGGAAAGATAGCTCTTTCCAAATATGCGATAATATATAGGGGGTTCCATTTGAAAAAAATTTTTTTCTTCACATACCCTGTATATGAAATAATAAAATCAAGCAGAGAACACATTTTCCAGAAGGAAATGACATCTCATTCAAGTAACTTTTTCCAAATTTCAAATATCTTTTTTCGTTTTCGAGATATCAGGTGTTGAAGTCGAGAAATCCATAGTCAATCACCCTGTACTGTATCATCTGCATACATGGTATATTTACTCATTGGACCAATTTCACTGATATTTTGAACATAAAGTAATTATAGTAAAACAGAGCCTTGTGGGACACCCTTATTGATTAATAGTTTATTTGACACAGAGTTGGTTGATTTTGTATTGATTGTCCTATTTTCAAGATATGAATTCAAAATATTTCTCACAGTGCCCCTGAGGCCCATTGTTTCTAAGTTTTCTAAAAGTGTTGCATGATCAACTGTGTCAAAAGCCTTTTTGAGATCAATGAAAACAGCTACCACATAATTTCCTGAATCAAGTCCTCTCTGGATTGATTATATCACATGTAATACTGCTGCTTGTGTTCTACTGTTTTCTTGAAAACCAAATCTATTAGAGTCAAAGCTATATTTTTTGTTGATGAATTCTACAATGCGTTTCTTGAGAATTTTTTCAAACATTTTAGAAAATATGCTTATTAAAGCTATTGGTCTAATAATACACTAGCACATGGTTTATGACACTCACCTTTAGCTTCTACCAGAGCTTCTACCATAAGTTACCTTGTGCTATTGTATTAGTAGCTATCATTACATGATCTTTACAAATACTATTTCTGCATGGAACATGAAAGATAATTTGAGATAGGTCTCCAATTATTTTTTAATAAAAGTTTCAATATCTTGAAAACCATGAGGTTGAGTTATGGTTTTCTGATAAGTTATTAACTTGTTTCACCAGAGGATGATCCATGGTTTATTGGTCATCTAGTATATTTCTTTGATTCCTATCTCATAGTTCAATTAAATTGATTTATGAATCACACTTCTGTTCAGAATTGCAAAGTTTGTACATAAATTAGCTCTTCTCAATTTTGAAGATTTGTGAAAATTGTAAAATGCTAAGTGATCTAAGTTGATAATAGAAATAACTTTCAAATAAAGAGAAGTAAATCAAAATTCATTATGAATTTTAATACACATAGTTTATGATCAAGATAGTTTCTACATTGATAGTATTAGAAATTGATTGTATATTTCTTTGATTCTCATCTCATAGTTCAATCAAATTGATTTATGAATCACACTTCTGTTCAGAATTGCAAACTCTGTACATATATTAGCTCTTCTCAATTTTGAAGATATGTGAAAATTGTAAAATGCTAGGTGATCTAAATTGATAATAGAAATAACTTTCAAATAAAGAGATAAAGTGAATCAAAATTCATTATGAATTTGAATACACATAATTTATGATCAAGATAGTCTCTACATTGATAGTATTAGAAATTGATTAATCATACTTACAATATCAATGTGAATATAATAATAGTGGTTCCTATGATACAGAATTTTCAGTAGCCTTCTAACTTGTCTAACAGCTCTTCCAGTAAGTGTTAAAAGAAACACAATTTTCACTGGATTTCTTCCTCCTTGAGAATCCTCAACATTGGCAATTTGAGCTGTGAATTCTGAAAGAATATCTATTACAAATCAATTGATGAAAGTTCCAACTAGTTCATGCATACAATTTTATTCAGTGAATTATGATATTTCATATTTTTTATGTCTCTGTTTCAACTAGGATAGTTACTTTTAATTCCAGTTTGGTAAATATTCATTGTGTAATATCCACCACAAGTTTCATGTTGATTTTCAGGGCATTTTAAATTACAGGATGAATCAGGGATCTTGGAACTTAGAGGTGGTTCATCTGTTCCACAAAAACATTCATAACTAAAATTGCAGATTCCAAAATTACAAATCCTCAAATATATAGGTACCTTCATATTATTACCCATATTGTACACCAGCATAAGGAAAACCTGATTGTAGGCACAATTTCATACAATATTTTGGAGAATTTCCATTCTTATTAATACCAAAATATCCACTGAGTAACCTGAACTTTTTTTCATCTTTGAAGCATCCTAATTCTTTACCTGTGGAATATCCTTCTGAAGGACATCCCCCCACAAGTTCTTCAGGGTAAAGTCTATTTTCAAGAGAAAGGCACGTAATGTTTGATATGAGTTGTTTGCAGTATTGAGTCTTAGCCCGATTTATTGCAGAAATAGCTTCTTTTGTGGTAATTTGACATGGTAGGTCAAAATGTATTTCTTCATATCTCAATGAATGAGTATAGTTGACTTTTTGGTTCTTGCTCTTCATCTTCTGAACATCTACACTGTTTTCATCATCACTATCTAGCTTGATGTGTCTTCTTGCTGAATTTGATTCCTCATATTTTTCTATTTCATCAGAACTAACAGGAAGCCAATTGTTAGCTTGAGATCTACTGGCCCAATTTTGAGAGATGAACCTTCCTGCTAGGTATACTTGACATGATAGAATAACTATTCCGAAGATGAAGAACATCCTATACCTTTGCAGCCATTTGTTTCTAGGGGTGATTTTTACCATTTCACTATTTCAGATTAAACATCTCTCCTCTTTTATCAATTGTATCCCTTATAAATTTTAGATATTTTCGAAAAAATCTAATATAAAATGTATTAGTGGAGAAATCAAGTACATTGTGATAATCTATACATCATCGTTTTTGATTTCCAGTATAACCTTTCATAGATTAGTAGTAGTATAATGTACACATTTCCTGCTGTAGTGATGGAAATTCTCATTTCTTGTTTTATTAATGTTTTGTTCTTTACCTACATTCGGGTTAACAATCAATATATTTTTCCTGTTTTCATTTCACATTTCTTTCCATTAATTTTTTTAGTATTTTTCAATTTTCAATTTCATTCCCATTTTTTGTGTAATTCAATTTTCTAACATGACAAAATGTCACATGTCACCTTGTCAGAGATCATTTGTCCACTGACATGAATTCGTTTTGCCCCAAGTTCCGCGTAGGACAAATCTTGACAAATCCCCAAACAAATCCCAAGGTCTAGATTTTTGACATTTGTTCTTTTTTAGGTTATATTGAGGTCATTGGCGTATCATACGTAATTTCCATATGGAATTCCTGATTCAACTATACCAAGATATAGTTGAACAATCCTCTACTTTCAGAGTTTACTACTCCAACATAATCTTTGCGAGGTAGGGAACATATAATTTTTACTAAAGGCTTAATATATTTCACCAAAAGAGACTGTTGTTAGTCTGTATACCATGGTTGATACTGAATTGACTGAATGAATTCTGATTTCAAGCTGAGCAGTAGTTTAACTATGCGCTATGAGCTGAGCCTTATAATTGAGAAATGGTGAAAACTGAGGGTGAAAACCTCGATGTGGGTATCTGAACTACTGTACTCATGTCATGTGTGCTAAATATATTTTCGGAAATCCAACTCGTAGAAAAATGTATGGAGTGAAGAAGTAGGTATACAGTATAACTTGAGCTTATGGGCACGTTATTTTCACTCTTGCATCCTATATATTTTCAATTTGTGGTAGAGTAATAATGATAAAAACTAAATTCAAAAGTGCAGTTTTGAGCAGTGGTTATTTTAATACCACTAGAAGTGAGATCTGGAGCCAATGCAGTTTTCGTGATATTTTCCTAAAAAACTTCAGTGACCCACAATTTGGTTCGAAATATTTTGCTATTTTTATGAAAGATTGCTGCACATACCCACAAAAAATACACAGTGTGCTCGAGACGAATGAATATCAGAAAAAACATATACAGAGCGACTTATACAAAACCAGAGGCAGATACAATACCTTGAACCAAATGGAATATTATGATTTATCATAGGGTGATCTGAAGAATCAGAGCCAGATCAAAATCTTATTGATGGAAATTGAAAAAATACTCAGTGCGTTTATTGAGCTGAATGAATATTAGAAATATCATAGAGATCGAGTGGCAAGTATCAAACACTGCTTTTCGGATCTGCAACTAAACATCACATATTAATCGAAGTACATTTGAATCAGAAAATTGATATCATCAGATGAAGTACATGGATGTTGAATCTGAGACATACCTGAATGATATTTTCATCGTCCGTAACTGGATTGCTACATATTAATCAAAATACATTCAAATCAGGAAATAAATATCATTAGATGAAGTACATGGGTGTTGAATCTGAGACATTCCTGAATAATATTTTCAACGTTTGTAACTGGATTGCTACATATCCGCTTTCTTTCCGAATAGTGGTTCTTCCGGTAGGTATCCTTCACATTTTCAATTACGTGGGTTATATTGAGGACCTTGAAGGCCAAACAATATGCTGCTCGGATCTGAAACTAAGTATCAATTTCAAATTTGAATCATGAGACCTAAAAGTAAAATTCGTAACTGGAACGCGATATATTTTTGTAATTCATCAACTATCTCAATGAAGACGAGGCAGGCAGATAAACTACAATTTTCTCTGCAATGAAGAACACTGTATATACCTAACCCACCATGCGTCTACCTCCTTTGCAGAGAGGGTTTATGAACGCCGAGTTGATACTCTCCCCTCGTAAGGGTACCTGTCGTGTTTCCATAGAGACATAAAGCTGAATATCTGTCTATCTGTCTGCTTGAGAATCTGGAAAGGTAATCAATATATCGCCTTCCCTACGAATATAATGATCTGAATTCTGTAAAGTATACTCTGGTTAGTTCTCTTTGCATATCTTCTGTTCGGTCCGTATTTACTGAATGGTTCTCTCCAATTGAATGGCAAGTATCAAACACTGCTTCTTGGATCTGCAACTAAACATCACATATTAATCGAAGTACATTCGAATCAGAAAATTAATATCATCAGATTAAGTACCTGGATGTTGAATCTGAGACATACCTGAATGATATTTTCATCGTCCGTAATTGGATTGCTACATATAATCAAAATACATTCAAATCAGAAAATAAATATCATTAGATGAAGTACATGGCTGTTGAATCTGAGACATTCCTGAATAATATTTTCAACGTTTGTAACTGGATTGCTACATATCCGCTTTCTTTCCGAATAGTGGTTCTTCCAGTAGGTATCCTTCACATTTTCAATTACGTGGGTTATATTGAGGACCTTGAAGGCCAAACAATATGCTGCTCGGATCTGAAACTAAGTATCAATTTCAAATTTGAATCATGAGACCTAAAAGTAAAATTCGTAACTGGAACGCGATATATTTTTGTAATTCATCAACTATCTCAATGAAGACGAGGCAGGCAGATAAACTACAATTTTCTCTGCAATGAAGAACACTGTATATACCTAACCCACCATGCGTCTACCTCCTTTGCAGAGAGGGTTTATGAACGCCGAGTTGATACTCTCCCCTCGTAAGGGTACCTGTCGTGTTTCCATAGAGACATAAAGCTGAATATCTGTCTATCTGTCTGCTTGAGAATCTGGAAAGGTAATCAATATATCGCCTTCCGTACGAATATAATGATGATCTGAATTCTGTGAAGTATACTCTGGTTAGTTCTTGCATAATCTTCTGTTCGGTCCGTATTTACTGAATAGTTTTCTCCGATTGGGTTGCAAGTATCAAACACTGCTTCTTGGATCTGCAACTAAACATCACATTTAAATCGAAGTACATTTGAATCAGAGGATATCATTAGAGGAAATACATAGGTGTGAAATCTGAGACATATCTGAATAATATTTTAAACGTCCGTAACTAGATTGCTAGGTTTTTCCAGTTTTCCAGTAGGCATCTTCCACATGTTCAATTATGAGGGTTATATTAAGGACCCTGAAGGCCAAACAATATGCTCTGGCCATTTTTCTATGCGGATTCTTCGTTCGATTCGTCGTGACTGGATGGTTATCTCCTCGGTTATCTCCGATTCAGTGACAAGTATCAACACTTTGCTACTCACATCTGCAAATAAACATAATCATAACGATAGAATCAGCTGAGAGTTCAAATATGGGTATTCCACAAATGGATGTGTGGATATGAGGGTCTTGAGAACAGCCGGCGGTAAAGTGCACAAAAATTGAAGTAGTTTTTTTCACATCATATTCCTATTTTTCACGCTTTCATGAGATTATTTGGTAAAAAGAAAGGAGTTTATTTTTTTATAGCCACTATATGATTTTGAAATTGGCAACGTTATCCATAAGGTGTGAGTGTATCAATATTTTCAAATCGATTTCACTCGAAAATGATACATCTGATCGAAGCTGAACAGTAGTACTTTTTTTTGAAAAATGATATGCATTTTCATAATCCAAGATTAAATTGTCGAAAAATATTCATACAACAAATTTTGAGCAATATTTGATGTAGTCCCACCCTGTATTATACACTTCTGAGTGAAATTCTGGGATGATTTCATTTTCACTGCATTGGGCATGGCAAGTACAGTTCTTGTACCGAATTGCATCTTTTTATCACATGGGGTTTCGGAAATACTCAAGAAATATCATCTTCAGGAGCCCCCTTTTCGGGGGCCGTAGCTCCTTTAGGAGACATTTCTCGTCTCATGTTTGGCAGGCTAATTATGGGACACCCTGTATTAAGGTGCACCATTCTGGATATGGAAAATATGGACGAAGATGATTATTATGATTGGTAATTATTAAAAAGTTTACATTCAAAATGTTTGCTTTCAAGAAATAATGTATTTTTTTTTGTTAATAGCCACGTTGAACACTAATTCCATGATTTGAGACATTGAACATGATTTTCATACCATTTAACTCTAGTGTCAGTAGTAAGTCAGTGAAGTCTTAGGAAAATGTGAAGTCTGGTGTACAAATTTTCGTCTGCGGTTCGCCCCTCGGGAAATAGTAATAAATTATGGTATATTTGAAGTTTACAAAAACAATAATTAGTTTTAGATATGGCTCTTCTAGGTTGACATGAAGCGCTAGCAGAGCCGTTGGTTTTTGCTGTTAAATGAAGGTTATGAAATTCGCGAATATGGTAATGAATTAGTACTGATTTAGTAACAAATTAACGCACTATGGCAAATCTGGAATATTGAAGTGGTTCTGCTAGGTTTCTTGGGGTGTTTTACCGAGTGGTACTCGATGTGGTACTTTATAACTTATTGTCACCCGGTATGTTTACATTTGATACATCACGCATATGTACCTTGCCGGTTCAATTTCAAACGACATCGTTTTAGAGATTTTCAACTGATTGAGTTACCATTAACGCTCATCGTGAAAAACCCTGTATACTATTTCGCGATATGCACTAGATTCTTGCGTGAAACTGATACGAGCACCGTTGAAGAAGGTGAATCAGATAGCAGAAGTGACACAGTTGTTGTCGATATTACCTGTAAGAGTGTGGACCAATAGATATTAACTAAAATCAATCGCCGTGTTTCAGTAGTTATCACAAAATCGATTTATTTTCTCACAAAGTGCCTATCACGTGTTAGGGAATATTGAAAAACTCACTAGTATGAAATCTGCACATATGAATTCTCAAAACACTTCACAAAACACCGAACCAACACAGAATAACGCGATG